AGCCAAACTTTGTTAAAATGTACGCCTAAAATGGCAACCCAACTCCCCAAAAAAGTGGACGCTCCACTCCTCCGAGTCCGAGTCCGGAACTCTGCGAGAACCTAACTCCGCGTCAGGAGGCTGTGGGTCAGAACCAATGGTACCATTTTGGGGGTAGGTGAATTCGCCACCCATTTTAGAACCTATTTTAGTGGGGATTGGGATGTTCACAAAAATAATTACGGGCTTTTGACCGAGCCGCGCCAGGAGACCGAGCTGAGCTTGAGCGTCTTGTCGGAGGAGCTGCATGGCATGGGCGGCGCCCCCGGGGTGGAGGAGCTGCGGGCGGCCGTGGGCACGGTGAAGCACGGGAAGGCGTCGGCGACGCGCGCGCGCAACGCGCGCAACGCGAGACTTGGGTCGAAGCTGCGGGGACATGTCATTGAAGCTAGGTGCGGAATGTGGGAATGAGCGGTTTTTTGGGTCCGTTTTTTTTTTAAATAGGAAACCACCCAGCCTGCGAAAAGCTTAAAGAACCTCGTCGCGAAACCGACACCTCCAAGTCTCAGTTCCTGAGTGGATGGCCCAAAGAAAGGAACCAAGCTTCTTTCCACTAACTTTGGTCCAAAAGTAACGATCAAGTCCGAACCGGAACGCAGGAAGTGAGAACTTGATGAATGAAATGTCTCAACAGCTTCTACCCAAACGGGCGTGGCTGCAAACTAAAGGGCTGGGGTTCAGGTTTTAGTCTTTCGATCCGTTTAGCAAGCTGCCATTGCGTCCAGGAAGGTTTGGTGTTCCCATCTCGGCTTACACAGGTTTTAAGCAAACACCAAAAATGCAGGGATGAGCTCCGATGCAAGGTGCCAATGACAAGCACACATGCGACCAATTTGCATAGTCCATGCGGCCAGAATTGCTAGGGCTTCCTGAGTTTCGACTTTGGCGTCGCTTCCAGGCAACGCCCCTGGACCTGGGAGTCCCAGCGGAGGAGGTGGACTTTGAGAAGGCGCCGTCGGACGGCTTGCGTTGAGTTCTGATGGTCTTTTGGTTTCGGAGCCGCCGCAAACCATCCACCCCCACCTCCCACCTCCAGCCCCCCCCAAGAAAAGACAAAAACAAAAAGAAAACAGATGATATTTTCTTGCCAGGGCTACTGGGCAACTGAGGGAGGAATTGCTGAATGGTTTGGGGGTCTGGTTGCAGGGGGCGTCACGAACTACGTGGGGTGTCCCTTTTGGACAGCTTGGTTGAGAACATTGTGCGTCCGCATTTTGAGACAAGACTCCACTCCAAGTTCGTCGCAGGGACGCACAGCCAACTGACCAGTTTGGATGAGGGTGTTATCCAGAAATACACGGGACACAGCCAACGGCCATCGTAACAATCTTGGCAGGGCCAAAGGCACCCAAGGGAAGGGTTGCGACGGCGAAAGTCATCATACTGGGGGGCCTGGGGCGCAAGCAGCGCGCGCAGCCTATAGGCCTAAAGGCCGCTGACCCAAAAAGAAAAGGCTGCTCAGGAGCCTGTCGCGGCCAGGTCGTCATCTCGCCTGTGCGTGGGTATCCTATTGGTAAAGGCCTTAAGGTAGACACCTCCAGTTTCCCACAAACCTATTCCCTTCTGGAAGCACTTCTGTCGAAGCTGGACTGTTCGCCGGCTGCCTCTCTCGCGGATTTTTGCCTGCAAACGCGCGCAATTTCGTGGACGCTTGCAGCACCTACATACACGCCCCAACAGCCAATATATGAAGGTACTAGTGCAGCAGGCAATCCTCGCGCCCTTTACTCAGCAGACCCTTCCCCATTTTTCCCTTCACGACGCAAGAGGAATCACGAGTGAAGGGAGCTCTTGCTTGCCGGTTGGGCTGGTGGTTGGACGAGCGTGAATCAATGAGCTTTGATGGGGACAAGAATCGCGCCCTCCAGGTGCAACGCCACCCTTTTTGTTTGGTTTGGGAGCTTGCGGTTTGGGAACTTTCAGTTTGGGTTCCCTCTCCCCATTTTGTGGCGCAGGATTGTGACTCGCAATCCACACGACTATGTGCTGAAATCTGTTTTGGAGCACCCCATAAACCACCCCCTATGGCTTTGGAACCATTCCCTACGTCACGCGATTTGGGCCACTGCGGTTTAGAAGCCAAGGACCTCGCCAAGAAGGCGGGGCTAGACGGGCTGCTCTTCTTCCTCCACGTGGAAAACCTTCCGCTCAACGAGGCGGCGGAGCACTTGGGCCGCGCCAAGCTCTCGGAGTTGGAGCACAAGGCGGGAACGCCTTCCGCGAGTCTGAGGGGCTCCAAGTGCCTTCGCGCCCCTTGACCCGCCCGCCTCCCGTAGGTGCTTACACTCCCTGACGATAAGGAAGTCCGCGCTCTAGGTCTGACATGGAAGTCCCTCGACCCTCTCTTTCCGGAAAAGTGCCGGTCATCTTTTTCTGGGAATGTACGACCACCTCCTAACATAGAAGTTGCCTAGGGTGCCCCTTGTCACGACAATCCCGGGATTTTTTCAGGAGCCCTAGATTCTTGAGGGAACCTGTTTTGAGCCTGCACTTCCATGTAAAAGACAAAACGTGAGTGAAAACGCAAGTTCTGACCCACGAAAGTGTCCTCACATAGCACCTGAAAATAGGCCCTGCACTTCCATGTGCAGGAGAACACGTGCGCTTAACATGGAAGTGCAGGCTCGTCGTGTGCCCTATTTGTTTTTCAGGGTCAATAGGGAAACTAGGAGCGGTTTCGCATATCCCTGAGAAAAGTCGTGAACCGGCATTGGCCCGGTACGCTTTAAATTACAGTGTGTCCAACCGCTAAAGCGTAAACGAAACAGATTCCGAGTCAATCTTACCCCCACATGCTACCAGTCGTACGTCGTACCTAGGTGGGGTTCTGGGCCAGTGGGGGGAGTTCGGTTTGTGTTAGGGGGGGGGGGGGTAGGGTTATTGGGGGGTTGAGGGAGCCGGTGCCCGAATCATCGTCGGAAGTCAGCTTCGTGTTCTGAAATGTGGAAGTCGACAAACAAAAACACCTCGGGGACTTCTAGGGTAGGATTATTCAAAAACATGTGTTTTTGACTAACCTTCAAAATTAATAAGAAATAGAAGCTTCGGAGCTTCCTGTTTAATTCCAGAGAGTGTAGACTCATTTTACCCCCCTAAAAGCCATCTTCAGGAGGTACTTGGACCCTTTGGGCTTGGTTTTGGAGCTCCCCTTTATTGAAATGAAGGGAGTGGGGCTTCACAAAACAGATGGGGCGGGGGGGGAGCTCCCACTATGTGGAACCACACCTCGTCTTTTTTTCTCCCCCTCCGTTTTTGGAGCTCAGCTTGCACAAAAAAAGCAGCGGGGGGCCTCTCGGCTCCTCTCAGCTCCGCCAGGTGCTGGCGGCTCTAAGCTCTGAGGAGCTGACGCAGAGCCTGGAGGGCGTCAGAGCGGCGCCGCCCACGCTGAGCTGTTTGTCCTCCTGGCAGCGCGCGCGGGAGAACTGCCGCCGGGAGGTGCAGGCCATCGTGGACCGCTGCAGAGGCGGGCTGGCGGCCCCGGAAAAGGGGGGGGGGCCGGCGGGTGGGGCCATGGGGGGCATTTTGGGCGGGGCCAATGGGTGGGGAGAAACCGTTTTGGTTGGAGGCTTCCTATTTTAGTGGGGAGAGGGGGATGTTCACTGGGGGCTGACCGGGCTTGTGACCCATGGCCCCATGGGGTGGGGAGAAACTCCACGCGTGAAGAACGTGGCGCTGCTTTGTTTTTAGGTTTTTGTTTGGTTTTCGCTCTTGCCCGAAGAATGCGACCTGGGATGTGAAACTCTGCGTGAAGATATTGCAGCGCTTCAGAATCGATCAATCACATTAAACGAATCCTTGAAAGTGGTCAAGCACGGAGCACGGTGACCGTTGAAAAGAACCTGCCGACACGCAGGCGAAGTGCAGGTAATTAGTTGCTGTCAGGCAATGAGGAGAAGTTTACAGACGAGTCCTGGAACCCTTTCGCGAACGAGGCGTTTGTGATGTACGTGGACAAGGAAACGCGGGGGGGGGGGGGGGGTGAGGAATGGTTATGTTTAGGCTTCCGCATTGTGATGAGCGGCCTTTTGGGAACAACCCCCTTCGTCCCCGCAGCCACAGTAGGAGTCCAACCCTAAGTGGTATCACAGAAAGGGCCGTTTCTTGCCGTGAGGAGAAGCCCGGCTGGGACTGCACGGCGAGAAAGGCGGAGTGCTGGAAGAGAGCCAAGGAGATCCGGAGCAAGGCAATTCTCTTTTCGGACGGTGCGGCGACAGATGACATTCAGCAGGGCCGCTGTGGGGACTGCTACGTGCTGGGGGCCTTGGGTGGGGCGGTCAGCAACAGGCGCCGTTTCCTTCGTCAGGCCTTCGTAGCTTACGACGAGGAGGTTGGTGTTTACGGCGTCTTGTTTTGCAGGGACTGCCACTTCACCTATGAGATTGTGGACGACGTCTTGGCGGTGAATAAATACGGCTCCTTTCACTACGCACGCAGCAACACCAGCCGAGATGAGATTTGGGTTTCAATTCTTGAAAAGGCCTTCTTCAAGCACTACACTTGCGTTGAGATGTGCGATGGCGGGAGGGGCCCGGAGGCGCTTTACTCCTTTCTCGGGGGCATTCATGGCCGATATGAGATTATGGGTGGAGACTTTAAGGAGCCCTCCAAGTTCTTCGAGAAGATCCAGGCGTGCTGGTGAACAACTTCTTCAGGCTGCCTCGGAGCAGTCGAAAAGGTGGTCCCCAAATCCAGGCGATCCCAGGTCCCAGATGAATACCCCTTCCTTGGTTGCATAATGTGGGCACATGTCCGGCAACTGGTATCCGGGCCACGGACCTTCGGGAGAGATGACACTTGCACAAGGTACCGAGTCTGTCCTGTGGATAGCCGAATGCCATGCACCACTTTCAAACTGTGGTTGACACAATGTTTGGTTGGCTTTTGCAGGGGGATCATCATTTCAGGGCTGCTTGGGTGGTGCAGGATTTCGTCCCTCCACAGTATTAATGCACATATATCGATAATATGCATAGATTCTTGGATATGAGGTGCTGCCTTAGAAACTTCCATTGGTGGCACAAAAAAGCCTCCATACTTCCAACACCCATGCCTGAACATGGTGCTGACATGGAGGTGACCAGCCCACAGGACTAGCGCCGTTATAGTCTCAAAGGTACCTTGCCGTGTCAAGGGGCTTGCTGTGCCGCAGGGCAGCCATCAGAGTGGCGAGCTTTTGAGCACCTCCTTTCAGAAGCTTGGTTAGGCTTGAGGAGACAGAGGGACCCTCTCGGGGGACCCATATGGGGGGAACCCTTTGGAGTTGGGTTCGTACCTTTTCAGCACGTCCACTTCCTTTTTGGTCTGTGTCACGTCAAGAGCTACCTTGCCAGTTCAGTCAGTATGCCAGCAAAAGACCCGTTTCAGGCGTTTTTTTTTTGCTTTCCGAGGAAGCCCAGCAAGGGCAAGTACGCGGTGGGCGGGGGGGAGGCAGGGCAGTGCGGCGAGAAGGGGCTGCCCTACGGGCTCCACGCGGCGCACTGCTACTCGGTGCTGCGCACCGCCGAAGTGGACGGCCATCATCTGAGCCTCGCCGTCAGTGGCCGGGCGGGTGCCAAACCGGAAATCTGTGGCTGGAAATCGACGTTTGGCGCAGGGCTCCCGAAAAGATCTCCATTTTGAAACCATTTGAAACATGTTGCTTTTCAACACCAACATAAAAATGGAAACCACCATTACAACGCAATGTTCAGGTGTATAATGTAAAGACCCCTGTGGTGGTTGCAACACATAGAATTGGCTCATGTTGATCCGATATCAAATGGACACCAGACAGTTGTGGGTCCTGGTGAAAATGTGTTGGTTCTCTTTAAGTGCCTTCCGTGTTGGTTCTGGTTGAAGGCAGATTTTTCCGCTTTCGGAGTGAGGCTCTGCATTCGGAACCCTTGGGCCCGCGGCGAGTGGAAGGGCCCCTGGTCGGACCAGTCAGAGGAGTGGACGGATGAGCGGCGCGCGCTGGTGGGCGCCAAGAAGAAGGAGAGGAGGTTTTTTCGTTGTGACCGTTTTGTTCTTTACTGTGATCTCTTGGCAACCATGTATATATGATCAACATTTCGGCCCCAATGCCCTTCTGAGGTACATTCCATAGAGCGTGGTTCAGACAGGATAGAACGATGAATGTTGCTAATTTCTGATTAGTTCTGAGATGGATCCAGGGACTCAGTGAACCGTGACAATAGTTGGTATCCCTCTGAGCTTATTATCCCCCTGTACGCAGCATGGCGGCAGCGGAGCCGGGTTTTACACACAAACGAAGATGCCATCAGATGGACAAAGTCTTCGCGGAAGGCCTAGCGAGTGCAGGCCAGCCACAGACTGGCGCAGGTGTGTCAACAGTTCGGCCAGGATGGCCACATCTTTGTGTGACATTTGAATGTGAAACCGCTCACGAGGTGTTCCTTCCCCATGGCATCCTTGATGCCTTCAACAACAGGCAGTGTAACGCATGCGAGGAAGGGCATGAAATGGTGCGGATGCAACATGACCAGTAGTAGCGTTCTGTTGAGATCCAAGATCTTCGTTCATCATTAAGGTGCTCGGTGGCGCAACATGTGGAACAGGTGCAAGAGATTGCGGAAAGCATGGAAGTGTTACTGGGGCCAGCTCGACCCAAGACACTGGCACGCCATCATGTGCTCAGACAATGTAAGTTATTTTTTCTGAAGCACCGCTCACCAAGCTGATGTTACTTGACGAGGGTCGAGAATGAACCCGCGCGACCTGATATGCCGTCGCCATCACATGGGCAACCACCAGCCTGATCAGCCAGACCATCCCACAAGTCTACCGGACCAGGGCAGACGCAACCAGGGAGTGACCTCTCCAAGTGCATTCCATCAGACTGGGGGGTGTTTTTTTGTCAGTTGAGTCGACTGTTGCTGCGCCCTCTCCGTCGGCCATTCGCAACGACCCCGAGCCTGAGGCAGATGATGAAGACCTCGACGAAGAAGACGAAGAAGAAGAGGAAGAAGAAGAAGAAGCAGAACAAGAAGAAGAAGAAGAACAAGAAGAAGAAGAAAAAGAAGAAGAAGAAGCAGAACAAACAGTTCAGTTCTCCAAGAAGCAGAAACCGCAAAGAAGAAGTCTGATGAGGCTTCACCTAAACGCCAACCTGCCTCTTCATCAAACATTGGTGCTACCTGACCTCTGGCCAGAAGATTTGTACCAACGCAGGATCAGTCACGGTTCCAAGAGACATGTGAAGCTCATCCCGTCCCAGTGCTCACTCCGCATATTCACACACGATATCTCTTGAGTGTTGATAACAGCCCGTGACATATGCTGACCGATTAATCTTGGCCCTTTACTCTTTGCGGCAGGAAGCCCTGAAGGCTTCAACAGCATCAACCCGTATTGGGAAGAAGGGAGCAGAAGCGACCGCGTCAGAGAGTTGGGCCTTATAACGAAGAACCTTGGACCTCTTGCAAGGGCCGTGGAAAATTCCAATAATCGAGTCAAGTCCGGGATGGCAAGCGGTGAGGAGTGTGTGCGCGTGCGCGTGCCCAAAAGAATGTCCAAACAAGCGGCTTACACATCCTTGGCAGCTCCCAGACAAACAGGTGCCCAAGCGTTGCGTCCTTCGTTCGGTTTGTTGATGCCGTGGCCTTTGAACCCCTCAGGAGGACGGTACCTTCTGGATGGCCGTAGAGGATTTTGTGCAGGCCATTGTAAAAAAAGACAGGTGTGGCGACCGCGTGTTTGCCCACGAGGGAAAACATTTCTCAAGCAGTCTTGGGGCAGCCTTGCAAAGCCTTAGAAAGCATTGCAGAGAACCAACGACTTTGCTTTGAATAGGGGGTCAAAGGTGTATTGCGAGGGAGTTGTTTGCCGTCAGGTTGAGCTCGGTTCAAATCCAGCGGGTTGGTTGGTCTGTCAGGTGGCGTCCTCCATCAAGTTCAGCCGCACCTTTGGCCCGGCTTGGCAGTGCGCCGCCCAGTACGGGCGCTTCGACCAGGACGGAACGATCCGTATGCCAGCCCTGAACCGCGACCAAGCCATACCTTGGCCGACCCTGCGCAGCAAAAGTTTGCGTTTTTTTTCTTAGAGGGGGGGTGCCCTATTTTGCGGCTTTCTCGGAAACCAGAGAAGTCCCAAACCTAAAGCCTGGCTCAAGTTCCGTAATGTTGACCGTGGAGGACGCGGTTCAAGCGGTTGGCGAGGTCAGCGTGAACATGTGTTGTTTTAACTCGGGTTTTGGCGCCAGAGTTTTGCTTTTGGTTCCTTGAAGACAGAAAAAACCGTTTTAAGAAAAGAGGCGCCCAGATAATTTTGTTGCAACATGTGGGGGTCCGAGGCCCGTAAGCAGTCAGAGCGTCTTCAGCGGAGAGTACCAAAAAAGGACGACAAGGGCACTCTGCTTTTGAGAGATGCAGTGAGACTTCATGGTTCGGGCCCGCAAAACGCCATAGAGCGAGAGCAATAGAATAATGGCGGGACGCTGGCTCATGTTCCCAACGTTTAAGGTTTCCAAATGCTGGTCTCTTTCCTCGTCCCAGAAAAGGAACCCATTTCGCACCCGAAACAAAAAGCCTTCGAGGGCCAATCGAAGAATGCAAAACCAGGCAGAACAACAAAACGTAAAACTGCAATGCTCAAAAAGGAACACAAACAAGAGTTTAGTCAACCGATAAACAAGAAAGAAAAGGGCGAACAAACACACAGACATTGAAAAAGAGCGGTTGCTTCTCCCTCTTTCGGCGTACCCAAACAGACTGTCAAACATAACATGGACAATAACCAGACAAAGATACAGACAAAGAGGCCGTCTGTCCTAGCCCTCGAAACCTACCAACTGCTGGGTCAATGTTGCATGTTTGAATGTCAGGCCAAACAGATCTTTGGCGTTTGCAAGGATTGCACCTCCACTCCTTTTCTCATGCCTACAGGTTTCATCCCGCTTCCCTTTCGCCTTTGAGAATGGCGCATTCTCTGGATCCCTGCAAGAACAACTGAATAGCTGTAACCCTTAGATGTTTGTTTGAATTGGGGCAAGAAACGCCCCCGTGTCTTATTTGGGCCCGTGATTCTTTCAGTCGGTGCTCTTTGTTTGTGGTTTTCAACGGAAATCCAAAAGAAAGCTCACCCGATGCTGAGGCTCAACTCCTGAGAGCAGACCCACCCGTTTAGGCCTTGGAAAACATTGATTCCTCCCGTCTGCCGGTCCGCCAGACGCGGCCGATTGTTCGTGCGAAGAGGGAGTACCAGAACGCTGACGACCAAGAGATCTCGCTGTCTAAGGGCTGCTTGGAGCATGAATCAAGTGGGTGTGTTGTGAAGAGGCTCGGCACGCCCTTCTCGGGCATACACATCAAAAAGGAATACTTTAAAATAAAACATATTCCGGACCAGGCAAAGGAGAAGGCAGTTGGCAAGTTCGTATCCTGTGCCCTGGAGCAAAGGGTGGTTAGTATGTCAGTACCCGGCGCAGAGTCGGAGAGTAAGTTAGTAAGTTAGTAAGTTAGCAAGTTAGTAAGTCAGTAAGTTAGTAGGTGCGCCAGGTAGTACTTTACCGCCACCACCGCGACTACTACTACGACTACTACGACTACCACTACTACGACGATGACGACTACTACCACTTCTACTACTAGTGCATTTTTGTCGGATACTGATTTTTGTTGAACCCTCCGCCCCTTGGGACGTGGTTTTAAAAGGCAGCCGAAAAGAAGCCCTGCCAAATTTTTGAGGATCGGTACCCTTTTGGTTGGTTTTATGGAAGTCAACAATTTCGCCCAATCCTCCCAGGGTGGGGTTCCGTAAACTTCACTGAATTCATAGAGACAACTGGCCCTTCAGCAGCTTTCTTTCCTCGACCCACCTCGACCGTAGCAGTACATGAGCTGGCTCCTTGTCAGCCAATTGGTCTGGAAAGTGAATCGAGAAATAGAGACGCGTAGAAGCGATGCAAGGATTCCACAAGGAAAACTGTAGGGAACAGGCAATTACCTATCATCACATCTCTTTCCTGTGTTGCCACTCTCCGGACTCAGACATAGCATGTGATTTACAATCCTGGGATTTACACGTGAATAAAGGCATTATGTCTCTCTAGGGGAATAAAACCCTGCCAACATGCTTCTCTCACTGAGACACGCCAGGTTTTTGGACGTGTTGCACCGAATGATTCTTCTCTTCACAGACGATTCCATAGATGCTGAAAGAGGGTAATTATTGTGTGAAGGCAAGGGGTCCATCTTTTACCTCATGCACGCCACCCATCGTGTGGTTACATCTAGTGTAACTTGGAAGAGATATAGGTGGGCGAAGAGATGGTAGCGCTTGCGCACAGTCGACCAATAGATTATTAGTCCTTGAAACCCTTACTGTTGGATCAAAGCTAGCGTTAGAGAGATGGTTTAATAGAGATGGTTTAATAGCCTCCACTGGGCCTCCACCGGCAGTTTCTACCTCATGATCTAGACCTGTGGGGCACTAAGCACTTGTCTAAGCTTCGGGACATGCTAAATGGAGGAAGGGGAAGTGAGGTGGGAAGTGGATAGGTGAGTCTTTGTGACCAGCCAATAGGCACTCTCCATCTCCTGTCTGTCACGCGTACATCCCGTTCTTCTGTTTTTTGGGAGGTTTGGTTGAAAGCTGGGCGATGTGATTGATTTTCACCAGGCCCCCGGTGATGCCCATGTTTCCTTTTGTTGTTGGGTTTTCCGTGTACCATCGACCGACCAAGCAATTTGCGCGCCCCCCCTTTTACTCTTGCGCAAATCCACTCCCTGCTAGCCTATGTCTGGCCTTAGAGGCTTGGGGTTTGTCTGAGACCCCAGCCAGACCCAAGGCGATGTTGTCAGGGAGTTATGGTCCTTTTCCGCCATCCAAAGCAAGCCCTCGAACCTTCAGACATTGTCTTTGGACAGTTCTTTTTTCCCGCGCAGCGTGCTACTCTTCGGTCAACGGGTCCCCAAAGCCGGCTCAGGCGACAAGGTGGAGATCTTGCAAAATCATGGCTATTGGACGGAGGTCAAGAATCTGCGTACGGGCAAGGCGGGGGCGAAAGGCAGGGTGCGGCGCACTCCGGCTCCTTTTGCCTTTTTTTTTGCGCCTCGATGGCCTGAGACATGGGATAGCCTTTGGTGGTGTGAACTCATTTGAGCTCTTTTCGGGCGAGGTGGGCTACGTGCGCTCGAAAGATTTGGAGACGCCCACGGCGAAAGTGGACAAGTATGTGCTGGAAGCGACCGATATGGCAGAGAACGTGCCTCTCATCCTCTCCCTGCAGCGGGAGAGCTTTGGTGGTAAGCTGTGTTTATCCTTTATCTCGTTGGAACTCGGAAGCCCAGGTGCCCATAGCCTATGGGTCTGGACTGGTGGTGTGGGATTTTCGAACCCCTGATTTTTGCAGAGGGTAAATGGGAAACTCAAGAAAGGTTCACTCGAGTTCCCTGCGCGCAAGGAACCAAAAGCTGGCTCGGGAGTGGAACCACCCAAAGGGGTGGAGCGTGACCTACAAAGAAACCAAGCGGCTCAGCTGTGCCCACCTTCTAATTTTTGCTTTGGCTTTCCGAGCTGGTCAGGTCACCAGGTCACTAGGTCGGGCAGCTGTCATATGTTTTTTGTTTTGTAGGGCAAAGCTTACCCATTTCTCCCATACATGTGATTTTTCTCCCCATCCGGTGAGGTACAGCTCGGCGTATGTCATTATTTATGACAAGGACGGCAAGCAGACGGCCAAGCTCCGATTCCGCGACCGCCACGTCTTCCAGTACCTGGAGCCCGCGAAGGGGCCCTTTGAGGCCGATTTCGAGCGAGGGATGCGAGTTGCATAAGAGAAGTGCTTGGCTCGATCCAAGCGAATGCCTGACTCAGTTGCCCAAAGCAAATCGACCTTTGAGCCTTTTGGTTTTCCAGCTTGGGCCTTGTTTTAGTAAAGGCCTCAAAAGGTTATGCTTTTGTTTCTGGGGGTCCTTTGGGCAACTGAGCCAAACCGGAGTGATGTTAAAACAGGTGGCAATCAGACAGTCACCCCCCCTTGAGGTCTATGTGAATTCCCCAGACGGTCGCGGGAAGCGCTTCGCACTGTACAGCTTTGCGCCTCACGGCGTGCTCAGCTTGGAGAAGAAGGAGTGCTCATACTCGGAGTTCCTGGACAAGATCGGATGACACACGCTCGGTCAAGAAACTTTTGTACCGGACATGTAATTGTGAGCCGGGCATCTGAAAGGATGCGCTGGCCGAGGTTGCTGCATTGCGACGTGTCACCAAACTTGCGCTCGTGCTGACCCAGCATGCAATCCTTTTGCTTGGGTTCAAAGAGCCGCCAGCATGCTGGGGAAAAGCCTTGGCCCACAGACGCATGTTAGTCATAGAGCTGGCTTGACGCTCGGGAGTGATTTGTGGCGGGCGCAGCTCATCACCAATTCCCTGCCTGCGTTTGCCCGCGCTCCATGGATTTCCACTTACAATATTGCGCGCAATGCCACGTTCAACACAGAGAAGGTTGGGCCAGGGCTTCTTTGGGCCGGCAGAGCGGGCTGGTTTCATTCTGGGAGCAATTGTCTCATTCGAAAGCGAAGACCTTTTGAGTCGCCCATTTTCTCAACCTTTCGTTGAGACTCCAAAAGGCGAGATTCCAACAGGTTGTTCGGATTCTTGTTTGGCCAATCCACTCGCAACCTTTCATCCCAAGGTGGTTTAGGTGAACCCTGCATGTTCCCTTGTGAGGGCTATCAACTGGATTCCCAAATCGAGGCTCCAAATCTGCTTGGCCCCCTGCAAGAGTTGCTCAAGATGTCCCATCAAGAACGCGTGGGCGGTGTGGTAGTTACCCTTTCTCGGGTTTAGGGGCTTAGGGGCTTAGGTTTAGGGACTCCAGAACGAGTGACCCCCCCCGCCACTAAACAGTTTCACGGAATCGGGTGAGGCGAACCATTTTCTCAACATGTGGCCTTATAGGAACCTGAAACACGTGTCGACATGAGCGGACACTTGGCCAGACGCCATTTGGCTCGGAACGGAGGATTCGATGGACCAGCAGTTTCTTGTCGCCACCTGGAAAGATTTCATGTTTGTTGCTGCGTGGTTTCCTCTTGTTTTAAGGCGAGAAGCCCCAGAAAGCTTATCCCACATCACCCTGAAACATCATTTTGCTCCCTTCTTTCTCATTTCCCATAATATTGGGTTCCTTCACCTTTCCTAGCGGCCTTTGCCAGTGTTTTTTTGAAAGAAATAATTGGGGCGTTGGAATTACGTGTTCGCAGGGGCCGTCTGTTGGGGGCGTCCCTTGCTCGCGCCCATCTCGCGAAATGGGCGTCTGGGCCGTCTGGGCCGCGTGGGCGCTGACATGCGCTGGTTCCGCGGAGGTCACCCAAGACGCGGGGCTCCGAGTGGGTGAAATGGCCTACCACCTGCCAGTGGTTTGTTAAAGCTTCCATGTGCAAGTTTTAAGGGACACCTAAAGGAAACCAAGGTTGGCTTCCATGCGTGTAAAAAAGCTTTCTCATTTTTTCATGTTCCCCTGGTTTTAAAGTTGGAACCAAACACTACACGTTTTTCCCAAAAAACCCTCTGGGGTTGGGTTCTCGTTTAGTTGTCGAACCGCGAGGGAGCGAGGATCGGCAGGGGTTCGGCCTGAAGTGTACCATGTTGCAGCACGCCGTGTGCACGCCACTGGCCGGGAAATGGCCGAACAGGCGGCCTGCCGGCTGAATTGCCGGCAAGAACGGGACCGGTCTCAAGTGTGCCGAGTCTACCGCATACCGCAGGGCCGAGTTTTGCAGCATACCGCGCAAGCGCCGCCAAGAACGTGACCGGTCTCAAGTGTGCCGAGCTTTGCCGAGGTTACCGCATAATTAATGCAGGTGGTCGGGCTTCAAGTGTACCGAGTTTGCAGCATACCGCGCAAGCGCCGGCGGGGAAATGGCCGAACGAGCGGCTTGCCGGCTTTGCCGGGACGACCTTGCTCTCCTTTGCTTAGCGGAAGTTTGGAAGTCTTTTTTTAAGTACATTTGAGCACTGCCTGGCAACAACTTGCCTGCTCTAGCTTAGCATCGCCGAGGATATGTTGTTTTCGCGTTCAGCTAAGCCACAGCAGTGACCTCTCAGAACATCTAACTTCAACCAAAGCAAAAACAGCCTGATTGACTAGGGCGTTAAACGGCACAAGTGCATCCTCGTCTTGATTTTCGCGAGAATGTGGCTTTGTTCAGTTTTCTTTGCAATGGATGGGGTGGGTTCATTGATGCCTTGATATTATTGATTCTAATTCCTCCAGCTGTCTTGAACTGAATCTTACTGGCATCGCCGTGATTGATGATTAGCCTGCGAGGCTGGGCGGTGTTGGACGTTTAATGTTTGACCGTCTGGCAGGCCAGTGTACAAACACAAACGCTCAACGCAACGCTCACTCCTTTATTTTTCTCGATAAAGGGCCCGACAGATACTTCACAGTCGTCAGATTTTATTTTAAATTCTCGTCGCTGCTTTCTGGCTGTCTTGCTCAAACTTTAATTGCTGCGCTGAGTAGGCCCGCAGTCGCGGCTGCGGCCGCGCACGTCCCTGCCGCACTGCTTCGGTCCGCAAGGCTTGGCTGCTTCGGCCCTTCAGACTTCGGCCAGCTTGGCTGCTTCGCCGTTGGCGACTGCTGCTGCCGCTACTGCTGCAAGGCTATTACTTTGTCGCTAATTCTGTTATTGCTGCAGCGACGCTGTTTTGCCGGTGTTGTGCTGGCATTTCTGACTCGCGCTTTACGATTCAAATACGGGTTTGACAGTGCTTGCGCCAAATTTGCAGCTGTACCTGGGGCTTCAAGAACTTGTCAAAATGTCGTACCCTGACTAAAACATCGTGTTTTCTTAATTTTCTGAGAACATCGTGCTTTCAGGAAAAACATTGTGTTTTTGATAAAGCCCTGCAAAATGGGCTTCTGAGGCAAAACGTTATTTGGAGCAAACAAAGGAGCAAAGGTTCACAGGAGCATCACCCATTAAGCTTTCAAATGGGTGGCAGGGCTCTATACTGAATATGCTTCAAATTGTAAGGCCCACATTGATGAGCCTGACAGCTCATACCGAAACCAGTTTGAGAGTTTGAGGGGGGGCGCTGGAATCCCGAAGCCTCCCGGGTGACACTTGTTGAAAATGTGGAGGGATCCTGGTGGCTAACCCGTAGAAAGTAGAAAGCCCGTAGCCCTAACCAAAAACATTGTGTTTTTGGAAAACATCGATTTTCCAACCCGTAGCCAAACCGTGGCTAACCCGTGGAAGGCCGTGGCAATCCGTAGCAATTCTATGGGCTCTTTTGGGTCAACCCCGGATGCGCTAATTCGAGATTTTGGATGGACAAGAAGCAAATCCCACCGGCGCACGCCGCCGTCACCTCCATCCTTGCCGCCTCCACTAAGCCAAATCCCACCGGCACACGGATGACCCCGGCTCATTCTCGCTGCTTTCCTGGAGCCAAATCCCACCGGCGCACGAACCACCGCGCCTTGGTACCGCTGCGCCTCTGTGGACCAAATCCCACCTTCACGCGGCCCGCCAGCACCTCCCGTCACCTCAGCGCTGGTTGCATCCGCAGAAGCAAATCCCACCGGCGCACGCCGCCGTCACCTCCATCCCTGCCGCCTCCAGCAAGCCAAATCCCACCGGCATATGGCTGACCCCAGCTCGTTCTCGCTGCTTTCCTGGAGCGAAATCCGACCGGCGCACGGACGACCGCGCCTCGTTATCGCTGCGCCTCTGTGGACCAAATCCCACCGGCGCGCGGCCTCCCACCAGCACGCGCCGCCGTCACCCAAACTCGGTAAACTCAGCAAAACTCGGCACGCTTGAGACCGGTCACGTTCTTGGCGGCGTTTGCGCGGTATGCTGCAAACTCGGCCCTGCGGTATGCGGTAAACTCGGCACACTTGAGACCCCTGGCGGTTCCCGTAAGGACGGGGCGAAATGACCTCTCCCAACCGGTTTTTGAGAGGGCGGAAAAATCCTTTAAGCAAAGGTGGAAATTCTAAGCTCTGACCTCCTCTCGCACCGAGCCTCGGGGATGTCCTTGAGGCTCGGAAGGAGAGGGCGGACGGCCCTGTCCTTACGAGCTTGAAGCGTAGTTTGCGCCTGTAAGGGGGCCAGCTTGCAGCCTGCAGCCTGCGGCCTGCAGCTTGCAGCCTGTAAGTTCCACACTTCTCTTAACTGAAGCTGCCCGGCGCAGCCGCCGCGCCAAGAGATCATTTATACAGCATTCCAAGTCAAAATTGTGAAGACTAAGCGGGTTTGACGGCTTTGTCATTGTTGATTTAAATAGGCGCTGCAGCCAGGAGCCACAAAAACCGATGAAAATGTCATACCTAAATGTTTTTGATTTCAATCATATTCCGGAGTGCTGTCTGTCTTGCCACCCGGCTTCCCACTCGGAGTGATCCCCGCTGTGCCAGCCATAATGCCAGCCGGAGCGCCAAGCAGGCAGACAAGACCATGGCTCCACGGGAAAACCCTGTCTTTGTCTCTTGGCTGGCTGCTGCTGCGGGTTGTGACTGCTCTGCGACTGCACCACCGCTCGATGCAACTTCACACTATTGCCGTTATAGTACTGGCTAACGGTCGGGTTGTCGAACTGCCGGGCAGCAGTGGGAACCACGCGGAAGGCCAACACCTCTTTGCCGTCAACCATCTTGCGCAAGATCCGAAACTTGCTGTCCGGAAACGGCGCATCCTTGCGTAGAGATTGCTCTCGCTTGATAGCCTGGCAATTGGCGATCATGAGGAAAACGTCCGACGCTTCCCAGAACTTGCTGTCGTGGCCCGCCGCAACAGCCCATGCGTCCAGCGCCGCTCCCAGCAACGAGTAGCCAATCCCCAACAGCTTGGACTGGCTTGACAGCACCTCCTCCTCCACAGGTTCCTTCAACTCATTCATCATCCATTAAAATCACCTAACTCTCATAATCTCCCATTGCCCTCTCCCTTTTTGCGCTCACAGCGAAACCAGCTTCGCATTCGCAACTCGTCATTTGCAATTCCAATCTGAAAGAAGACCTGAATAGCCAAAAGTACCACCTTGTCCTTCCAAAAGGCTGCCAAGCTTACGACATTTGTCAAGCAGCAATGCCATTGATGTCCATCCAAAATCTCAAATTAGCGCATCCGGGGTTGACCCAAAAAAGCCCATAGAATTGCTACGGATTGCCACGGCCTTCCACGGGCTTGCCACGGTGGAAAAACACTGTTTTCCAAAAACACAAGGTTTTTGGTGAGGGTTTCTACAGGTTAGCAAGATCGCAACAAACAACTTGAACATCCCAAAAAAGTGTCACCCGTCTTGTTTTTGCACCCAAAAGGCGGCTCGGCGCCAGATGAAGCCAGCTGCGCAGCTGGCTGTCAGGCTCATCAATGTGGGCCTTACAGTTTGAAGCGTATTCAGTATTGAACCTTTGCTCCTTTGCTCCAAATAGCGTTTTGCCTTAGAAGCCATTTTTCAGGGCTTTATCAAAAACACGACGTTTTTCCTGAAAGCACTATGTTTTCAGACAATTGAGAAAAACACGATGTTTTAGTCAAGGTACGACATTTTTACAGGCTCTTGAAGCCCTAGGGGGGATAGATAGCTGGCATCCTGCAGCCTGCAGAGCCGGGGCAGGCTGCGGAACAAGTGCTTGCTGCAAATTTCTGCGTTTAGAAAATCCCTAACAGGAAATCTCTTGACAAGGTATGCGTCGAAAAATTTGAGGCGCAAGGCTCTAAGAGCAACACTTTAGGCGCAAGACTCTGTAACTTTGCGCACTCTTTCGGAAATGTTCGTTTCTGCCGCCGTTTCTCGTCGCAATGAACAAAAGATATTTAAGTGGACTAAGCGGCGAAGCTCCGTGAGGCTAGGCTGCTTTCATGCTGCCCTGGCCTGATCACATCTAATATCTTTTTCTTGACCCAGCGATTCGAAAACAAGAATGTTAAATTTCAGTCGAAAAGGCAGCAGCCTTCAGTTTATTCCAATGTGTCGCGCGGGTGTTGAGAATGGTTGTGGGTGCGGTCAATGAAGCAAGAAAAGCTATAGCTTGGCGTGATTGGCACGGCTCTCGGCTGTAAAAGGGCTTATTGCACTTTCTTTGCGTAAACGCCGCTGGTTGTTCTAGCCAAGCTGTCCTGCGAACTTCTGCGTTGAGCAGTTTTCTTGCTGTATGATAAGACTAACACCGGTCAGTTGGCAAGTTATTTCAATTTCTCGTTTTTAGTGCACTCTGAGTGATTGAAAGAGAACAGAAATGACACCATGGAAGGGGTTAAAAACAACTTCCAAACTTCCGCTAAGCAAAGCTAAGCTCGACTGTCGGTGAGTGTGCCCGCTGAATTGCAACCAGCGCCGAGGAAACGGGAGCAACCAGCGCCGAGGTGACGGGAGGTGGGATTTGGCTTGCAGAGGCGCAGCGACAACGAGGCGCGGTCGTCCGTGTGCCGGTGGATTTGGCTCCAGCTCATGGTCAGCCGTATGCCAGTGGGATTTGGCTTGGTGGAGGCGGCAAGGATGGAGGTGACGGCGGTGCGTGCCGGTGGAATTTGCTTCTGCGGATGCAACCAGCGCCGAGGTGATGGAGGCCGCATGCCGGTCCACAGAGGTCCGTGTGCCGGTGGGGCTTGGCTCCATGAAAGCAGCAAGAACAAGCTGGGGTCAGCCATATGCTGGTGGGATTTGGCTTGCCGGAGGCGGCATGCGTGCCGGTGGGATTTGCTTCTGCGGATGCTACCAGCGCCGGGAGCTGGAGGCCGCGTGGTGGGATTTGGTCCACAAAGGCGCAGCGATACCAAGGCGCGGTCGTTCGTGTCCGGTGGGACACCAGCACGCCTCTGTGGACCAAATCCCACCAGCGCGCGGCCTCCAGCACCTCCCGTCACCTCGAATCCCACCGACCAAATCCTACCGGCCATCCTGATGGCAAGCCGGCGCACGGATGATTCTGCGCCTCTGTGGACCAAATCCCACCGGCGCGCGGCCTCCAGCCCGTCACCTTGGCGCTGGCGGCGTCCGCAGAAGCAACTCCCACCGGCACACGCCGCCGTCACCTCCATCGTTTTTTTGCATCCGCAGAAGCAAGGATTTGGCTCCAGAAAAGCAGCGAGAATGAGCTGGGGTCATCCGTGTGCCGGTGGGCTTTGGCTTGGCGGAGGCGGCAAGGATGGAGGTGACGGCGGCGTGTGCCGGTGGGACTTGGCGGAGGCGGCAAGGATGGAGGTGACGGCGGCGTGTGCCGGTGGGATTTTGTCCACAGAGGCGCAGCGCGGTCGTTCGTGTGCGGGTGGGATTTGGTTCCAGGAAAGCAGATCAGACCATCGAGGTGGATGAGGCAGCTGCAAAGGTGCTGTTTGAGGACTCTGAAATTCCTGGCGGCATCAAAGAGTTGGTTGCCTTTGTGCAGGCTGACGATACTTTTCAGCAACCCACTGGGGCTGCAGTCGCTTGGTTATCAGACAGCTGCAATGATTTCGCCAACGCTGGCAAGATCGGGCAAGCCTGTTCGCGCCGCGCGCGCGCGCGCCGCGCGCGCGCGCCTTCGATGTGGTCAACGTCACGTGGAAAGGCGCGCGCCCCGCGCGCGGCGCGAGCAGGCCGCCGTCCCCAAACGGCAAGAAGCTCCGAGAAACCGTGGCAAACCATGGCTTGTTGCAACGATGTAGTTTCGACTGCCGCGTCCTGGATTCGCATTTCTCTTGCTCTGGTCAGTGCAAGGCTGCCACCTAAGAGCTTTTGCTGCTTGCAGAGCCCTCAAGGGGCCATAGCAAAAAGGCATAATCCACGCAGCAGCAATAGCAGCATTGTTGGTCTGCCTGTGTCGCCCACGAGCTCCTGCCTGCAAACTGCTTGGGCAAGCAGTTCGCTGACAGTCATTCACAAATAGTTCTTCGCATCTTGGTTTTTGGGTTCCCCGGCTCTCCTTGTTTCAGATTGGAATTGCGCCGCTGTGAGCGCAAAAAGGGAGAGGGCAGTGGGAGATTATGAGAGTTAGTTGAAGCAACCTGTGGGAAAATGATTGAAATCGAAAACATTGTGAAAACATCGTGGTTCCCAAAAATCATTGCAACAATCGTGTTTTTAGGCATGCCATGTTCATCGGTTTTTGTGGCTCCTGGCTGCAGCGCCTATTTAAATCAACAATGACAAAGCCGTCAAACCCGCTTAGTTTTCACAACTTTGACTTGGAAAGCTGTATAGATGAAATTCCTTGGCGCGGTGGCTGCGGCGGGCAGCTTCAGTGAAGAGAAGTGTGGTTCTGGAAGACAAACAAGAAAAAGACAAACCACAAAATCCCGTGGACTTCAGCAAATGGACGCTCGGCTTCTGTACAGTTTCACTCCAGCGTGCTGACTTTTCAGATTGCTCCCGTCGTCCCCTTTGGGGCGCCTATGCTTGTCGGCTCAAAACTCAAGCAATCTTTGCGAGACGGCGCGCCGACAGTGGAAGACTCTTGGGGAAAATGGGGGGGGGGGGCCCTGTGCGAGGTGCTGGCGGCAAAGCAGTGGACCACTTGGGGCGGTCCCGGCAGGGGCCTCGCAGCTTCCTTTGTCTCCCATTTGCTTAAGACCATTTTATGTCTTCCTCTGTTGGTTTTGGAGGGAACCTATCACTACTGGGAATATTATTTTTTGCAGGGAGCTTAAGCAAATGGAAGTTGTGGAACTAATTACCCCAGGCCTCTAGTGGGTTGCTTCTCTCAGATTGTTCAAGCTACAAACGTCAGCGGCATGAGGGTCCTATTTACTCCTGACCAGGCATTGGTTGTTTTGGAACGTGGTTGAGGCACAAGGAACGATTCTTCGGGGGGGCAACGGGTATTCCTGTCCGGGAACCTCCCTCGTAGGCTCCCTTTGAGACTAGAAAGGATGGCAAGAGGGCGAAAGGCGTACTGAACTTCAATCCTCTATTTCGTCCATTGTTGGACCTGAGGAGTCAGTTGCTTCAGCAGAATCTGGTCTGATCAACTTGCGAAGGGGAACCCGGTGATGCCTGGCCAGTGATCAACTTAAGGGGTGCTACCGAGCCCGGGTGTTGGGAATGATCCGGCTTTGGGATTCCCGAAAAAAGGAATCCGTCAGTGGGATGGAATTTGTAGGGGGGTTCATTTCATTTTTCCTTCCCCGCTAAGGATTTGAACCTAGAACATTCCTTAACAAGGAAAATGCATGAGTTCAACTGTTTCATTTCAGCTCTTTGGCGTGTTTGTCTCTATATCTAGATACATACTATGGATATCTGAGACATTTGCTTTCGTTCATCAAACCTATAGCCTGGCTGCGTTTTCTTGGGCTCATTCCATTTCTCATTCCCTGCCTATTGGAGCAGCGAGCCCAAACAAAAGCCGCCCCACGGGCCACGCGACTGAGGCGGCTCGATGGCCAGCGCGGGCCCAATGTCCGCGCGCCCGGTGGTGAAGCCTGGCGACACGGTCTTCCTCAGGCCAGCCGAGCTTAAGGGCTGTTACTCGGTTTCGGTTTTGACGGTCCCTGTGCTTTTTTGGTGTGTTTGGGTTGCGGTTTTAAAGGTCTTAGGTTCTTCTTCTTTTTTGCGTGGGTTTCGGTTTTGACGGTCCCAGTGTCTTTTTTTGGTGTGTGTGGGTTGCGGTTTTAATGGTCTTAGTTTCTTTTTGTTTTGTGTGGGTTGCGTGCGGTTTTAGTGGTCTTAGTTTCTTTGTGTTTGTTTTTTTGGTGTGTGTGTGTTCCACCCGTTTCTTTTGAGGGTATAGACAAGTAGCCTTTATGTGTGTGTGTGTGTACAGCGTGTCTTGCTTGTCTGCCTGCGTGCCTGTCTGTCTGTCGGTCGGTCGGTTGGTTGGTTGGCAACCAGGCTGCGCCGCTTTTCCCCCCGTGGCAAAAGCCTGGAGTAGTGGGCCAAGACAAATCCTCCTCAATGGGGAAGGCCAAGAGGCGAAAAGGCATCTGCTTTTTCCTGGAGAAATATATTCTGTTGCTGGTTACGCGTTTGGAGTGGCGCAGCGGAGTTCTTGCGTCCTCCCTGGGAACACCCATGTCGCGTCCCTTCGGGTGGTTGAAACATCGCTTGACGACTCACGATTCTTTTTCGGACGGCGTGATGTTTCCAGGGCCATTTAGGGAGCGCCCTCGAAGATGGATCGCCTCTGCCTGTGAACATTCACAGGGAGACCATGTGTGCTTGCAATATGCGTTGTCGTCAAGGGAAGCCACCAGCAAGACAAGTTTGCTTTGAAAGGGGCCTTTGGTCAAGGCCAATGTACCGAGGGGGAGTAGGATGATAAGATGTGTGGATACGGATGCGGATTGTGGATCATTTCATCTTGCAGTTCCGGAGCTCCATGTTGCATGTGCCTGCGTGTGTTGCGGTGTTTTGTAATTGGTTGCGTCTTCGCCTAGGTCTGCCCTGTCACGCCCTTTCCATGTCGAGTGTAGTTGTGATTAACTTTGTGCGCTGTCTTCCTTGTCATCTGGTTGTGTTATGTTTGGTTGAGCTTGGTTTGGTTTGTACGCGATCAATTGTTTGAGTTTGTTGCTCCCGCTGCTG